TGAACTTTATTTATTTATTATAGAAATACAACGCAGACTACGATCTGTCGGCCAAGGAGGGCGCTGACAGCCTGGCCTTCATCTCTCTGATGGAGGAGAAACTTGTGCCGGCTCTGGTAAAAACAGATTTTTATTACTTTCTGGATCAACGTGGACGGTTTGTTCTGACCCGGCTCCTGCATCTGTCTGCAGATCTACACGTTCTGGGTGGAGCCCAAGAACTACGTAGACGTGACTCGCCGCTGGTACGCCGAGCACATGGCATTTCCTCTGAACTTCTTCCTGCCGGGCCGGATGCAGAGCCGACAGCTGGAGAAACTGCGACTGCTGAGAGGAGCCGAGAACCTGGAGGCTGGAGAGGAGCTGGAGAAGGAGGTGAGAGAGGAGCAGTGAGTCAGAAAACCTCCGAAGTTACGGGTTCAGAGTTTGGGTTTGACGTGATCAAACAAAACCAGAGAATCAAAGAACCAGAACTTTATTTAAAAAGAGACTTTAGTTCAGTGTGACATCAGAACCTGCAGCTCCTCTGCACTTCTCCGTGTGTTCAGGTGAAGCGGTCGGAACAAATTTAGACCAGTCCAAACCAGAATCTGTTCAGGTCCGAGGTCTCAGTGTTCAGGCGGAGCTTGTTGGAGAGAAATTCATTTCTGTGGACCAGAAACACCAGAACCTGATGCTGGTTCTGACTGAAGGAAGTCCTTGAACCAACAGGGGATGCATTCCAGACCTACAGTAAACCAGGAGACCGGGTGCCGTTCCAACGGGAGGACTGCAGACTCCTGAAAACCATGAAGGGGGGCGACCAACAGGTTTTAGCTTCCTGAGAGAAAAACAAGGAGAAAAGCGTGACCGTCACAAACGTCTTTGTCCCTGTTTGTTACTGAAAGACTGAGCTGGGGGGTTCAGGTGAAACCAGCAGGAAACCTTCCCGTATTCTGGACTGCTGCTGGTTGTTGTTGTTGTTGTTGTTGTTGTTGTTGTTGTTGTTGTTGTTGTTGTTGTCTTGAGCGTTTCTTTTTATTTCTCAGTTGTTCCGTGACGCTACAGAGTGCATGAACCTGCTGTCTCAGCGACTCGGAGCCCAGAAGTTCTTCTTTGGAGACTCGTAAGTTCATCAACTCTCTTATTACTCATCCTTAAAGGAGACGGAACAAAGTCCTGGTCCAGTCCAAGTGTCTTCGGTTTCCCTCCTGGGATCTGTTGACTCTTTCAGAGTTATTATTTTTGGACTTCGGCTGCTCTCTCTCAGTGTCAGTCTTTGTTTTCTTTGTTTAGCCTCTTGGCTCCAACGCGAGCTGAAACAGTTTTATTAAAATGACCAGTGTTGTTCAGATCGGATCTTTAGAGACGAGCTGATGTGGTCAGAACCTTCAGGTAGATCTTAGAAGAAGAATGAACGCGGGCCTCTGAGCCTGACAGACCAGGTGTGGCTGTGATTTGAGCAGATTAAGATGTCTCTGAGTGTTTGACTGGTGCTGCTGCGTCTGTTCCTCCGCAGACCTTCATCTCTGGACGCCTACGTGTTCGGCCACCTGGCCCCCGTCCTCAAATGCAAACTGCCGAACGGAAAGCTGCAGCAGCACCTGAAGACCCTGGAGAACCTGACGGACTTCTGCAGCAACATCCTGCTGCTCTACTTCCCCAGAGACGGTCGAGGTGAGGAGACTTAAATGTTTTTCTCTTGTCTGTCGTCAGCTGAAAGTCGATCTTTGGACCAAACGTGTTTTGAGTTTGAAGCCATCAGTTTTCGGGTCATTATGACTTCATGTAAACAGCTGAGTTCATCTGAAGGATGAAATCAGTCAGATTGTTGAGCAGATATTCAGCGTATGGTTTATTCTCCCCCTAGTTTCTGTTTCTGCTCCTTCTGCAGCCTAAAACAACAAATAATTAAAGACAGATGTTTTCAGTCACAAGCAGGAAGTAGAATATCAAACAACATGAACAAACGTCACAAAAAGCTAAAATACTGTATGTCCTTGTAGACATCCGGAGTGATAAAACCTGGTCCTGTTGGGTCTCCAGCTCAGACTTGCCAACAGAACCATCGTCCAGACTTTAAACGGGTCACAGGAAGTTGGCCTGAACTGCTGTCTTCATGTTTAACAGACTCACAGCTGAACATGGAGGACTTTACAGCAGGACGTTCAGGTTCTGATGTTGCTAACCTGCTGATATTTTGCTAACAGACTGCTACCTCGGTTTTCGCTTGGCTTCTTCAGTCTTTCTGTCTCCATCCCCACAGAGTCAGTGTTGCCAGATCTCGGGATAGAAACAAGCAACCAGCTCTATCAGAACAAGCCCAACTGGCAACCCACCACATTGTGTAAAACAGGCCGTTTTTAAACACTATAAACTTACATTTATTATGACATTACACATAAACAACAGCAAAATTATGCTAAACACCTTGAATAACATACTTTTAAGCTTTGATAAATAAATAAAAAAAAAAACACATTTTGCTTATGTAATTTTTTTCTACATATTTTTAAAAACGAAACATCCCGACATCTGCGTGAGTGGAGCCCCCTAGTGGTCGGCCACAGTATGAGTGTTTGTTTGGGTGTGCGCCTGTCGACTCGCCAACTTGGGCGTGAGTGATAAACTGGAAATGGGGAACGTGGAAGGGACAAACTTCCTACTACCACTCGTCTTTTGCTTTATTGTGCGGAGCTGGGAGATAATCAACTGGTTTCACTCAGAAAGAAAGTCGAGCCCAAAAAACCACAACCTGCGACTTTAGAAAAAAACAAGCCCAAAGTCGCTTATAATAAGCAGACTTGGCAACGATGCCCAGAGTGTCTCTGCTGCAGGACTGATGGTGTCCTCTCCGAGGTCAGAGGTCACTCCCATTGACGTCCAGTGTCCAAACAGGAAGTGAAGGCTCTTTTTAACTTATCGACCCTGTAGAACCATCAAACAGAACCTGTGATCTCATCAGAACAGCTGCTCATGGGTCTTGGATTGGATTTATAATTTTCACAGACTTGGTCTGAGGCTCAGTTTCTAGTTGCCATTTCTGCCTGTCTAAGTTATTTGTTTAGGGTTAGTATTTGTATTTGATTAGAACTTGGAAGATATTTTTAACTTGGAGTTTCAAAATAAAGTTTGTAAATACCCTCCAAATTAAGAGTGTGGGTCTGTGCTTCTACTCTTCTGTGACTCTGAGGTCCATGGGGAAGTTTTGAGTGACGTCACAAGAACTTTTGTTTTCAATTTTCAGAAAACGCTGGTCCAAAGGCGGCGCCGCAGCCGGACGGGGGAGACTTCGACGGCGTCCCGAACAAGCGCAGGAAGCAGCTGCTGTCGGCGCTGGTGGCTCTGGGCGCCATGCTGGGCTACGCCCTCCTGACCGGCATGGTGTCCATCCAACCCATCCACCAGGAGGCGCTGGAGGAGCCGCCGGACCTGGAGGCCATCGGACCCCACGACCACGAGGAGGACGGAGGCGGTTGACGTCTCGAGGACGTCCCGGGACTTTTAAAAATATTCAGAAGGATTGATCCGAGCTGCAGGAAACACTTGATAAGTTCTGGACACTCAGAGGCTCTGAGAGGACAGGAAGTGGACCAGAACCAGTGTGTGTACAGGTCACCCCATCATTAAAGCAAAGTAACTTCATGCAGCTTTGGTTTCTTTAAATGTTCACGCCTCGAAGCTTTCTGCCTCCAACAGATAAAACAACAAATCTGTAAATAAAATCAGATTCTTCTCATTTTCACCTCCAGCTGAACGAGCAGCTCAGAGTTCAGTTTGATTCACGAGTCGTCTCGTGCTTCTGGATCAGAACTTGTGCTTCTTCAGATAAAGTCTGCTTTAACTCGGGTTTATTTTTTCAAACTTTACGGTTTGTGCTCAAAACAGTTCAACAAAACGTTGAATCTGGTTCTGGAACATCGACCCGAATCATTTAGAGAACCCCAGGAGTCCAGTTCTGCAGGACCTGGTGAGACCAGTTGTTGGAGGTAATGTTGTCCCATTATGGTCAAGAAATTGTCTGATTTCTGAGTTTATTCAGCTAACAGTAACAAAATGTTAGCTAAGCTAAACGTAGCATAAGAAGACCAGCAGCTGAAGCAGCAGCTGAAGCAGCAGCTGAAGCAGATTTCAAGAGAACGAAGATTTTGAAGGAGTTAAGAAACCATCTTTCATTTCTAGGAGGAAAACATAAAGTTAAAAGTTTCATAGACCAAAAGTCAACACCCCTCTCCTGAATCAGCTAAATGTTTTGCTGTATAAACGGCTAAAACAGCAGGAATAAACCAGATCAGGTCAGTGTGAACGCTGACTTTAATCCAGATTAAAATAAACTGATGTGATGAAGAAAGCATCTATCTGCCCTCAGCTTGCACCCCCCCCCCCCCCCCCCACTCTGAGTCTCCACCCGTCCAGACCGGGTCTGGACCCTCGCGGGACACCCAGCTGCACATGACTGCACCACCCAGGAATCCTGGCCCGGTTCCTGTTGTTCAGGTCCGCGTCTCGGCCCGCTCTGCTCGGAGCCCAACGCGCTGATCTGGAAGCAGTTTGTGGAGCTGGATTCTTCCTGTTTGCTCTCAGAACTCTGGATCAGACGGAACCGTCTGTAAAAATGATGTTAACGAGCGTTTTTGACCCCTCCAGGCGCCCCTCACCTGCTGTTAAAGGCCCGTTTCCATGGCAACGCTCCAGAATCGGAAACAAACAGAAGGAGGAGGCCTGCAGAGGAGCTGTGAGTTCATCGCCGAGCCACCGCCCGATCCGCACGCTTCGAGCCTGATGTCACGATCTGCTAACAGGACGGGCCCGCCAGAACCATCTGCTGAAGGTTCTGACAGGCCCGTCAAAACCATCTGCTGAAGGTTCTGCTTCACCAGAGCGTAGAACCCACAGACCTGCTTCTGCTGAACGTCCTGCAGAGGAGCTAACGGACCCGAGAGCACCCCAAGTTCTGCAGCTGACTGAGTCACACCTGAGGTGCAGAATCAGCCGAAGGGAGAAGCAGAGCCGAAGATTGATCCAGCTGTCAGATACTCTTTAGTTTATGGTTTGTTTTTTTGTTTTTTTCATTTTGATGGTTAATGTGTTCTTTAAAGTTGAGAGCAAAACTTGTGACTGGATGCTAATTACCACAAGTTCACCTTTAGAAACAGCCAAAAGGTGTGTGTTTGACCAACAGAAACAGCCGAAGTGTGTTTGTTGAGCTACATAAACGACTGAAGTGGCTGAAAATGGGTCAAACGATAACGTTACGGGTTTATAAGTTGAAATCCTGACGTCTGTCCTTCTGGAACTCCACCTGGGTGGACTGATCCCTGACATTTATTCAGACAGCTGTTTTCATCGATTTTTCACTTCGGCCTTTAGCTGCAGATTGACTCTGTTTCCTAAACATCTCTGATTCCCCTCTTGTCTGATGCCGCCATGTTCGTTTACCTGCAGACTACAGCTGATGGAGGGCATCGTTCAACTCGAGCTACTTCCTGAGTGTTTTGTTTACATTGAGTGCGGACCCTCGGTTTATTCTAAAAACATTAATGAACATTGTCCCTTTTTAACACTTGACTAAAGCCTTTTATCTGAAAATTCAGTGTGAATGTTGAGTTCTGATAAGCTAAAACTGAGCTGAAAGCTAATTGTAGCTAGCTAAAAGTAGGATAAATTTAACTAACTGCTAAAAGAAAACTATCTAAAAGCTAAAAATAGCAAACAGCTAGCTACTTTTAGCTGACAGGTTTCAGCTCTGACAATACTCAACTAGAAGAGCTTAAAATCAGCCGAAGCCCCTCATGAAGTTCAGAGAACTACTGACCAGAACCATTTGAAGAGGTCCCAGGAGAGTCTGGATGGCTGGAAGTGAAATTTAAAGGCATGAGGACCGGATCAGAACCTTTGGACAGGACTAGACCTGCTCATGTTTATAGTACGCAGCTCAGAACCTCCTTCGGCTCATGACTGGACCGGTCCACATCTCAGGTGTTTATCCCACAACAGCAGGGAGGAGACTGGAGCTCTTTGGATCGGACCGAAGACGAACCAGTTCCTCCTGGTCATTCGTCTCCTGTCTGTCTTTCTGTCTCGGTGTCTTCGGTTTGTACCGTGAGCGTCTGCTGCTGGAAAACTAAAGTTCTGTGAAAAGTTTAATTTCAGTTTGAAGGTAAACGGATCCGGTTTGAGCTGAACAAGAGCTGTAAACAGAACTCTTTACCATAAAGTCAAACACCAGTATCTGCTGGTTCAAAACCAGAACTCCCAGTCAGAACCATGTACTCCTGGATTGTCGCCTGTGGCCGTTTGTCCAGAACCAGGTTGGACCTTGGACCTGAAGTTTGATGTCTTCAGTTCTTTTAATGTAGTTTGTTTTTTTAATGTTTGTTAAATCTCTCACCATGACACTTCCACCGCCATGCTTCACACTGAAGGTTCCTCCAGGCTCTGGACCAGGTTCTGCTCTGCGGCATCAGAGACTTTCAGTGAGGAACTATTTTGCTCCACACGACCCGGATCCTCGGAACCGCCTGGTCTTTACTCTGGAAGGTCCAAACAGATCAGTTCAGAGTTCTGCTCCGAACCGTTCCAGAACCAGGTTCACAACTTCTGATCTGATTCTCTCAACTCTTTTGGCTCAGTGACCGTGCACGCGCTGTCTGGTCGCGCGCATTCAGCTGCAGTTTCAGCTGAGCTCGTGGAAAAGTTCGGTTCGTCAGTTTCTCCTCCGGAGGTTGCAGCTCATTCTTCCGTCTGGACCGAACCAGTTCTTCCCGGTACCACCGGACCACTTCCGTCCCTGAAGCCAGAGTTCGGGTTCGGTTCCGAGCCAACAGTGGGTCTCTTCAAGGTTTTCTTCCCGGTCCAGAATGGCTCGGAGCGTCCCGGTTCTGCTGTCAATCATCTGTGTCCATCTAACGGCGGGAGTCCCGGACGGAGCTGAGGTCCAAGGTACCAGAACCGAACCAGAACCCGCAGGAGCTTCACAGCGAGCTCAAACTGAGGGGAAAGTTCCGGTTCTGAACTTTAAAAAAGGATTGATTCAAATATCATTATGTGTTAATTAATGTGATTGATTGATTGATTAATTAATGTTAATAACCTGTTAATTACATTATTGATTGGTTCTGTCAGTGTAATCAAACCTCTAACGGACGTGTTCCTTCAGTTTCCAGAACTCTAACCGAACCTTTAAAAACTTTTTGAACATGTGTCAAACTCAAGGCCCGGGGGCCAAATGTGGCCCTCGTTGACATCTGGCCCCCAAGATGTTGTTTTAAATGTAAAATACTTTTATTGCTTTAATCTTTTCAGTAATCTTTGATTATGGTGTCGAAAGTGCAACAGAGAACAACTACTCGTCAAATGAGACTCAAACTCTTGAGGAACCTGCTCAGAACCACATGGTCCAGAAAACTGTTTTCATGGAAAAAGTTGAATTTTTGTTGTAAAAAGAAAAATTGATCGTCTGAAGTTCTGTTTCACAATAAATGGATCCATCTGAACAGAACCACAGAGAAAAGACTTGATGATCTCAAGAGGACCGGGTTCTGAAATGCTCCAGTTTCCACTGAGTCATGATTTCAAGTTTAAACTGTTGCATCTGGTCTATATTTTTATTCCGTGTTTAAAAGTTCAAAATGATCGAATCAAATGTTTCGGAACCACTGGAAGTGCAGTGGGTTCAGATCAGCAGCCTCTCTTCAACCATGACACTCCCTCCTCCGTGCTCCGCTTCATCAGCTCTGTCTGTTCCAAGATGGCTGCCACAGCTACCCCCTGGTCAATTTTACAGACGATGAGCTGAAGTTTGGTGTCAAAGCCGAAGGCCGTTCACCTCGCAGACAGAACAGTTCTTTGACCCAAACGGTTCTGGTTGTCAGACCTGCAGGGTCTGAACCTCCGGCTGACAGACAGCGGGCGATGTGCATTCCTTCTGGGAGTGTCAGGCAGGTCTTAAATAACTGGCTGTCTTTAAACCTTCAGCTGTTTTTAAACCTTCAGCTGTCTTAAAAACCTTCAGCTGTTTTCATGTTTTTAATTCTCTGAGAACTTCTGTGGTCCAGTCCAGGTTCTGTGAACTGGTCTCAAGAACCGGAGGCCGTGGTTCCGGGCCGTCAGTCCGGTTTAATGTTTCAGGAAACGATTTCCTACAAAACAAAAGCAGGGGTAGAAAGACCCCTGCAGCTGTTTTGGTCCAGATGTTCTGTTCTAACGGGCCGCCTGGATCAGTTTTTGAGTCCATGGAGGATTTCCCTCCAGCTAAGGTTTCAGAAGTGGTTCCAGATGGATCCGGTCCAGATTCTTCAGGGTTTACAGTCACTTTGACTGAAACTCAAAGTCTGGTCCAGCTGTCAGGACCGAGGACATAACGACATAACGAGGACGGATCAGCCGAAACACGATGCGTGTCCAACAAATCCTAAAACCTGCCCAAGGTTTTCACTGTGTCTGGGAGCGATGCTGAGTCAGCACTGACTGAGGGGGAGTCGCCTCCCACTCAGTGAACTCTCAAGTGTTTTGGCTCCTCCACCTCAGTGAGAGCTCAGGTGTTTTGGCTCCTCCCTGTCAGTGAGATCTCAGGTGTTT